GGACTGATGACACACAGTATAGAGTAAAGGCGTACCCTGGCCCCGTCCCCTAGCCTCTTTGTGTGGTGCGCCTGCTACAAAACATATACATATATGTATATGTACTCAAATACGTGGATAAATAGTATGTACACCGTGCACTTTGATGGGGGTTACTCTCAACTAATTGTTGTTTTTTGGTATTGATATTATTATATGTATATTTTGTTATTGTTAAGATAATAATTATTTTGATTACTATTATGTTATTATTATAGTTGTTGTATGTACAATTATAGTATTATCTAAATTTATATTTATTATTATTAATCATCATCTTTGTTATTGTTAATCATGATTATTTATATTGTTCTAAATGGGTGATTTGATCATTTTGGCGGGCGGTGGGTGATCACCCAGCAGGTAGAAACAGAGGTATTCTATTTATTGCCCCCCACTTAGAGATGGTCACTTTTAAGGACCAGCGGGCTAACTCAGATTTCGGGGGTTTCCAGAAATCTTTACCTACACCAAAGGTGGGCATTGCCCTACCTATAGTTGAAGTTTGGTTTCATTGGTGTGTATATTTGTTTGGTTGTAGAGAAAACTCTCCTTGTCTTTTAAAGAAACTGAACAAGGGGCAAAAACTTTACCTTCCATTTTCTCCAAACTGCATTTTTCGAGATAGCCTCTTAGTGCTTAAAAGCGACCAAATATATGTAGATGGGTGGTATGAAGGTTTAAGCATCTTAATGGGGCAAAATAGGTGCTGGTTATATAAAAAGGTTGACCAGTACATAGAGAAGCAAAGAACCAGCTTTTGTTTTGTTTTCTGATAACTGGTTGATTGGCGGGTGCTCTGGTGTGGTTTGCTCCTTTCCTATCAAACATCTATCGTCCTGTTCTCTCCTTCTTCTTCTTTTTTTTTTTTTTACTCGCTTGTATCGCCTCTAATCTTCAGCACTTATATGACCTTATTGTGTTGCAAGTGGAGTAAACTCTTACTAAAAACTATAACTTTTGTTTTGTTTTATAATAACTGTGGGGTTTTTTTTGTTTTGTTTCAGGTGATCAACTTGATGGATTGTTTCACGCCCGCTGTCAGACTGGAGGACTTCAATGATGTGTGAGTACTGTTGTGTGTATGTTGTCTGTTTGTGTTTCTGTGTGTGTGTGTGTGTGTGTGTGTGTGTGTGTGTGTA